CACACACACACACACACACAAACAGAAGGCTGGCAAAAGACGGGCAGGGGCTTATCATTATGGAAATGTTGGTTTAGCTAAGTGGCTCAGGCACAAAAGACTATTAAACAAACACACGGATTCAGACTAAATGGAAGAACACACACGTGCAAATACACACACAGATGTCAATGACTACAACAAACATGTACATATGATTGTGTAAATACAACAATAATCTGCTTGTCCTCATGGAGCTGTGCAATTGCACCACCTTAAATAAATATGCTGCTCAGGACGCACTGTGCTCAAGGTGTACTATTCATGAGATATTATATGAATAAGTCATTTCCATTTGTGGCCATTAGTATGTTCAACATAAATACTTAAGCACATTGCTAAGAAGACTAGAAGCCTCTGGTTGGCCTGACTCTTCATTTTTCATTGAGAACCACCAGGTACAAGGGATAAAGGATTTTGTGAAAATATCAAATGGTAATTGTAAACCTGCTCTTATCAGTATTTGTATGTTAATAGTGGATCAAGTGAGCCCACAGATAATTATTATCAAACTCAGATTTGCATGGCTATTTAAAGGGGCAGTGTGTGGGATTTAGTGCCATCTAGCAGTGGGAAGTGCTCGTTCTAAGCTAACGGAAACACAATGATGAAAACATAGTTAGGAATATTATATTCCATTTCTGCAAATAGATCCCGTTAAATCCTACACACTAGCACTTTAACGTCTTTCAGCTCATTGTTTTGGTTTAACAGCCCAAAATGTGTTTTGGTTTGTACTCGCAGCTCATATCAACTTTGTTTCCAGCAGCAGCATGCAGCCGTTTTCTAAAAAGCTCTGATAAACCTTTTGTTTGCTACCTAATAACCACCAGCCAACAGACGGATAAAGTTAGCGACCGGCTGGGGAAAATAGTGGAACATTTAGCAGCTAAACAGCTAGACAAATTTCTCAGGAGTTGGAGGAGACCAAGAGCTATAAGGAGACCGAATAGCTGTTGGTTAACAGGTTCCCTAAAGTCCAATATGTCCCTAGGTGTGTTTCCATCTACTTGTTAATGCACATTTTCAATTTGATTTTCAAAAATCAGCCTTTACACTTTACACTGTACTGATTGTGCTACGCTGCTGGAAGAGAGGGTGTACTAGCAGCAGATGACGTAGCCTTCTGGAGGGGCATCACGATTTATGTAGGGGTGGATGGTGCGGCCTCCACACAGCCAGGAGCGCACTCTGCTGTGTCGATAAAGCTTTCTCACAAGTTTTTATTTCCCAATAAATCAATATTTGTGTCCTTGATTATAGTGTAGCCAGTAGATTGACAATAACATTAATATATACCACCGGGTATATGGTATTTGAGAGGCAAGAGGGAGATAAAATCTATTTACCTATACCTATAACCATTACCTAAACTCAGTATCATTTATAAAATGTTTTTTCTGTCTTCTTTGGAAAAACATCCATTGTTAAATACTGATTAAAATGCTTTAACAGTGACACCTGTAGGACAGGCAAGAAAGTGGTAGTTGGAGGCAGAGGAGGACAAACTCCTGCTGTCCTCCCTCAGGGTGGGACATCTTGTATCAATTTAAATGTAATCCCCTTTTTCATGCTAATCTGTTATTGGCCAAAACACCTAAAAAATAACGCTCCAAGGGAGGACGTCCTACTTTGGTGGCGTGCAGCGGCCTGACATGCTGCTGTACTCCGCTCAATATGGGCGACAGACTGCTGCATCGCATGGGAAGATGTTACCACTGTTCATTTAATAGAGGATCTGAGCACTTCCTAAACCACTGCTACTATCTGTCAGAAAAAGCAGTGACGCTAAATAGTTTATTTAGAGAGAGACCCATCTGTTGTTTTTTAATACGGCAAATACCTGACAGCACACTCGCTACATTTCCAAACATCCAATAGTACAGAGTGGTGCTTCTTCTTTCTCAAATAAACCATCCTTGGCAGTGTGTACAATGAAATGCACTGATACCTGTATGCAGAGAGCTTATTAACCAGAAAACAGTAGAAAGTGTATTGTTATAGTGTGGCCTCACAGATTTAATGTTATTAGCTGCAGCTTCGTAAATTCTCTGGTCACAGTTTTCCTATCGCCGGTTGAAACTTTGACCTGGAACAGCTTAAGGCCTTAATAATTTTATTTAAACAGCAGTTATTGTGATTTAGAAACTGCACTCATTGAAATCCTGATGGATTTTGATAGCAAAACATCGTGTGTGCTATTGTTCCAAACCACACAGAGCGGTGGTGCGTGAGGAAGGTGATGATCCTGACATGCGTGCTTGATTTTGTACCATTTTGATGGCTCCAGAGATTATGAGCTCTTGAAACCAGCCGACTGCTTTTCATATTATTCAAGTATTCCCATTTCAGCTCATGTGTCCCTTACAGAACTCAACGATCCACTGACTATGCTTTCATAACTCAGGTTTGATGATATGCTATTAAGTCCGCTGAAACGAAACCAATGAGCTTCGGTGTCGGGCATAAAAGAGCCATGATGAATAAGCTTTGATAAGCACCATCATGACCAGAAGGACCGAATGCAATCGGAGCCTTTCTCCCCAAAAAGTACTTTCCTTTACCCCCCCTTTCAATATGCATACATATGCTACTGGGCATAGGGTCTTTCACCACATTTAATCAGAAATATATAGAAGTCTAGAGCTGTCAATATTTGAAAGAATTCAAGTCTTAATGTGTAATTTAAAAAAAACTTTCATTCTTCCTTCGAATGCCAAGTTTCTTTTTTATCTGGAGCTTTTTAGGATTTTCCGCCGTACTCCGAGCTGCTTCTCTGTCACTATGGTCTCTCCCATGTGGAAATTACTCTCACTGCCAGAGGGGGGAGACAAAAGTGTAGCACTCCAGCTTTAAACTGAATCATAAACTGTAAAACAAAACAAGATATATCCTGTATATCCTCTGCCTTGTCCAGCACATTGTCCTCTGTGAATCCTTTGCAACGTCCTGGACACTGCATATTTGCTCTTGAGTACTGTACAAGAGGTTTTGCTGTAGTTTATATAGCTTTAATTGGACAATTGTACCCGTGTATATATTTTTTTCTAAATCTGAATTATTATCCTATATTGCACATTACCCTTCATGGCTCAGCCTCAAAAGTATGCCACCCGGTATTTCACTGCATATCTTGTAAAACTTCTTTAAATCTTAAATTTGTTTGAATGTCTACATTTAAATTGTATTTTGAAACAAGATGTGGAAGATTTCAGTTTGATTAAATGATTTGATTTTATCACTAGCGTCTGTGGATATCCACACAATGAACTGTGCGCCCTGGAGCAAGGTACTGAATAATTGAATGATAATACAACACAAAGAACTAGGAAAGGAAAGAGAGATACAAATACACATTCGAAAACAAACTGCATTGGGTGTGTGTTTAATTACTTTCAAATGAGCTTCAATTGCACCATCAGACTTAATGGGTTAGTCATTCATCTGCTTGAATACACACACACACACACACACACACACACACACACACACACACACACAATCACACACACAAAGGCATCTTGTCAAGGCAAGATCTAACTCATAACAAGGGCACCACATCGATTGGCTGATGCCCCCTCATTGATCCTGCGTCGGTTCTTCCTGTGTGTGTGTTTGCGTGTGTGCGATTAACACTGAATCGATGGCGTGTTCACACTCTGTCCCCCGACCAGCCAGCGGCCCTTATGCTATGGTTCGAACACCTCTCAATCACTCCGGCAAAAGCATCCTTATATCAGATGAACTGTGATGCATCCCTGTAACGAGTGGGAACGTTGAACGATGAGTGTGAAAGAGATGGCAGCCCCTATCGCAGGTAATAGAATCAGTGGTAGGACTTCTTACAAGTGAAGTTAGTCATATTTTAGTGCTTTACATAGACAAAAGAGGGTCTGTGGCACTATTACATGTTTAACCAGCGCGAAATCCACAAAACCAGCCTGAAAATTAAAGAAAATCTGAAAGGATTGAGTCTAAGGAACAGACGGATATCTGGCGGACCTTTAACAGGTCAGTCTGCGTCAGAGGGCAGGGCTTAGTGAGGATCTATTCGCCTTTGACCACCAAAATGTAATCAGTTCATCCTCAGGTCCAAGAGGACATTTGTGCCAAATTTTTCTGAAATTGCCTCCAGGTATTCCTGAGATGTCGGTTTCATGAGAATGGAACAGATGGACGGACGAAAAAATAGTGCCTCCTCGCCGGCAACCGTAAATACACATAGCTGAGCCGTACAGTATGTCAAGTTCAAAGATGGATGTGTATGAGTCCAACCTGCAACTACGTCTTGCAAATTCCAACAAATAAATATGTATATGTGTGCGCGTGCGTGTGTGCAGGTGTGTTCTTCTGATTGTTTGTGTGTTGTGACCTTTATCCTCTCCCGAGTATTTTCACTCTCAGGTCGACACTTTTGAACATCAAAGATCACATCTGGTCAGTATCTCTGTACAACACACACACACACACACACACACACACACACACAACTAATACGATTACTGCCAGTGCCCCACACACACACACACACACACACACACACACACACACACACACACACACACACACATCACAGTGAGCCACGGGGACATACACACACAGCCACCTGTCTCTCCAGCCTCTCGCCTGCAGAGAAGTGACTCATGGAATCAGTCAGGCAATCAGTCCCTATTCCTCCATGCCTGTCCCTTCTCTTCTCCATCTTCCACTTTTCCCCTCCTCCGTTCTTCTTCTCATTCATTCGTTCAGAGAAAACCGGTGTACCTATGTGTAACGTCTGCCCGTTTAAGAACCAGATACATTCGGACATGAGCAGGAGCCACGTTAACCTGCTGCTTAGTTTGGCTTATGTTTTTTTATTCATTAGTTCATTATTTTACAATCATTTATAATATATCATTTTGGTCACACATAGTGTAACAGCTACAGCCTTCAAATCAAAATAAAAAGGAGATTATTGTGCACAGGTGAAGCCAGGTTTTCTTCACGGCGGTCATCCATTCATTCCAACGTATCCTCATAAAACACACGCACACACACACACACTCACACACAAAAGTCTTCTAATTAAGCTGAACTAATAGTAGACCTCAATCTTCATCGATTTGCATCCGATGGTCCAATTTACGAACAGTGCAGCCCACAGACAAATCATCAAACATCCCAACCTATGCGTGGACAGTCAGAACCCCCCCCCCCCCCCCCCCCCACAACAAAAAAAAAAAAAAAAAAAAAAAAAACAAAGAAAAAAAA